TCCATATTGAATAGACAGAATAACACAGCTGTTGCAGATTTATTGAATGCACATCCATAACGCAGATCTCCCAAAGGTGCTCTTTTTGATTGAGATCTGGTGACTGTGGAGGCCTTTGCTCCACTGGTGCGAAACTATAGGGCAAATAAATATTCCCCCATCCCATGACAAAACCAACACCAACCCGAATCGCTGACGGATGCCAAGATGCACGGACGCCTTAATGTTGTTCATGCCTCGCATCTGAATTTCACAACACCAATCGGTTACTGTAAAATTTTGGAGAGCCTGTAAAAAATTGTGGTCTTGGTTTCTTAGTCTCAGCAGACAGAGAGTAGCTGGTAAGGTCTTCTTTTGCTACACCGTCTCTAGTGCAAAGGTTTAATGTGTTGGGCATTCAGAGATAGTATTTAGTATACTTTGGAATTGACAAAATCTTTGAGCTACTGTTGCATACCTGTTTTGTGAATCAGTTTGCCTATTCTTTAACAATATGATCAAGGCATTTTTCATCCACACATATACAGCTCACACAATATTTTCTCATTTGTCGTTCTTTTTTTTTCTTCTCAAAACCAGACAGATACCTATCCCTACTGGGATGTATTGTATCTATCCCAGTACATCCCAGTAGATCAACAAATATCAGTCTGATATTATGTTCAAAGTCACCAAAATCCCTTTCTTTCCCTGTCTGATGATAAGTTAAAGTAGCAGATTAGTGTATATACTCACATTTGTGTATGCTGGAAAAAGTATATGGAGTCAAAGCAATCGTTAAAATAATGGTAAACCTTCAATTTAGAGTTACAATAAATATTGTCAATGAGGCTTTCTTTACTGCCTTACTGTGCAAGAGCAGATCTCAGGACAAGGCTTGAAAAAAATATATAATAAAATTGTAACATTTCTGGGACCAGTTGTTTTACAGACTCAAAGAAACCACTCATCTTTGCAGAATGAATAAATTTGCAACCTCCTATTTGGGTCCCATCTAGAGCGGTAAATAAGACTGAACTGTTTTGGTGTTAACATTCCAGACGTCAAATGTAAAGCTTTTTTGTGTGGGAGCTGTTTGGAAGTAAATAAGTGGCTCAGACAGCTTTAGCCACTGGGAGAGTTCTAGCTGTATATAACAAAAAAGAAAAAAGAAAAAAAAAAAAAAAAAAGAATGATCAGATGAAGAAGAAGGTATTGATTTTTTTCAAAAAGCTGAACCTTGTGGTTTCTTGAAACATGCTGAGGCGCAGAAACACCTTCCCACCTTTCCTTCATGCTAACTAGCCAGATACTCTTTCAGAATCACCTTCATTCGCACGCATGAAAGTTAGATCAATTTAGACATTCAGCTCATTGTTTGTCTACTGGATCATAAGCAGGAGGTTGAGGGATATGTCACTAAACTAGTTCACGAGGCTTGTGCATGCTTTAGGAGCACATTGGATGCTCACTGTAGACAATGTCAAACAGTGCACAAATATTTAGACAGACTGCACTAAGCTGACAGGAAAGTTCTCCTTTGTTTAATCTTATTTATCTATCTATCTATTTTTAGCTTGGACTTGTAGCTTTGTCAGGCGGATCCAGCTCCACACGTATAAGCAGAGACCCAGTCAAACATTCTCATGAGCTCGCCTTGCTTTTCTACAACAGATAATGGCTGTGTCTGTGGTGAGATAATGAAGACTGCGGCTCATGAATCTGTGGCGTGATGAATTTGCCTTTATGAGGAGACCAGGGGATCTATATTCTGCTGATGCCATGCTCACTCTGAGCTCCACACAC